TTGATAAACTGGTGAACAGATGCCATTGTACAAAGAAAAATATTAGTGGTTACACAGCAATGCTCAGCAACTCCACATCAGACAACTGGAGAACTGCACAGACTCATCCATGAAAACAGCAAAGTTTTCTAGACCATGTTTATAAATTAATGACTTTTTAAATTCAACTATCCAAATATATTTCTTGCATAAGATATACATACAGCCACCAAATGTTTTTCAGCAGTCACCTTAGAAAGGTTGATAGCTGACGTCCATTCAAATTTTGAAATACCTTGAAGATAGAGTTCCTGAAGCAGATTGTTCAAAGAGTCGCACCCAAGTCAATGTCCACTCTTAAAAGCTATTGGACTTATCTTTATTCTAGGACTTACTTGATAAACTTAATGTGCCCAACTAGATCAATATTGACTATTTCCAAACCATCCACATTCAGCCACTTGGTGAAGGCTGCAGATATTGTTCAAGATGTAAAATTAAACCTGCCCCAATGGTCACTCACACTAGCCACCAGAAATCTGTCTCAGAGTTGCCACCAACATGTTAACGCACATTGTGTTAGGAGGCTATGCATTAATAGTCATACGCTGACATGCTCCACTCAATAAGACATTTAAAGATCAACCTGGAAGATAGCCAGGAAGCAGAAACATATCTGATGACCTGAAACAGTCCATTGCAGCATGCAAAGGACAAAGTAGAAAAAAAACCAACAATAAGCCTTTAGATGAGAGGATTTAAAATTTAAATTTAACTTTTTAACAGTAAAGTAGCATGAACATCTTTGCATGTTTCATTCTGGGTATTTTTGAAGCTACTCTGGGATAGCCTGCTGTAAATAACAGCTCGACTATCAGTTCCTATTAACAGATTTCATTGTAATTAAAATTGTACCAGCTACTTACAATTATTCTTAAACATAAAAGAATTAAGTTATTAAAAACATTACTGTAATTGCCAAGTGAAGATTTTGAATGTTTCCTTAATTCCTAACATTTTTCTCAGCTGTAGTAACATGAGTTTACAATGTTCTTGCTAACTTTTGCTTTTTATCCATTGGTAGTTTGTGAACTCCCTCCTGGACTCAGTTATATTTGGACGTCTCCCAAGGCTTCCCACGTTACTGAAGTGTCAACACAAATAGTTGGAGAGCATTCCATCTCCAAAAGGAAGATAAAATGGTAGAAAGAAAAGTTACTCCATAGCATGCAAGAGATATTAATAGGATAACAGATTTCTTGTATTCTGTAATCATATTAAAGTATAATTTGCCATCGAATACTGAATTTTAAGAAGTTACTTGTAACTCACAAAGTAAATTTCAGTTAAATATAAGCATTCTACTTCCTTATTTGAGTATAAAGTGTGTTAATTATAAATTAGGCCCTTTTATAGTTTGCCATATATAGCAAAATAAAGTTTATATTCATGTATATAATAATATATTCTTAAGAAAGTGGTCTTGCTGTTGAGCAAACTGTCATTTTAGAGTGTCCTTATACCAGCTTGAAATAAACTCAACAGAAACTTTTATATGTTGAAATATAAGCCAAGGAGCTAGATTTCTCTGATTAATTCTTCATGATGAATTAATCTCCAGATACATGGTTTTCTAGGCCTCTCCCCGTCAATAGTAGCCTACATGAATTATTTCCATTTTCAATGCTGAGTCAATACCTGATTCAGCTTATGAGTGACTTGTGAACTGCTAACAGTTTATTAATGAAAAAATATCTTCCCTGAAGACCAGAAAATTAATCACAAAACTGACCAGATCAAAGGAGAATAAATAAATTTATAGACAAGCTAAATTACACATTTACTTTTAATCTAAACACATCAACTGAATATTTTTAAGAAAAGGTATTGTCCCAGGAGATTCACCTACAAACCAACAGATCCCATTCACAAATCTAGCACAAGGAAGAAAACTGTTGCACAACACTAACAAATTAAAGACTGGTCTTTCAGCTGAAGCCAGACAACTAACTACTCTATTTGCTGTTGATTTGTGAATTTAAATAGCAGATCAGAATAAGAAGTTAACACTAAAATTACTAGCATACTTGAAATTGCTGGAATACCGTAATTTGAGCCTTCACTGTGTCTACCAATTTTGACTGGAATTTAAGTTCCAATGAAACAGTACTATTGCTGGGGGTATCAGTAACTATTTAACTGAAATACAGTGAAAGGCAAGAAACAGTATAAAAAGAAACAAATTTCCATTTGGCCGTGGTTTAAGAGTGACTATTCTTTCAACAAAAATGCACAGCTCCCATGCCACAGATAATCCTCTCACTTATGTTTTGGAAAGATTATTTGCTGAAAGCGCATTCTTCTCCTAATATGGTTTGACTAAAGAGAACTCGCATGCTCAATATCACCTGTTCCACAGACACCCTTTGCATCACCGCTCCACCTGTCCTGAGTTACTTCTTTGGTCCTTGCACAATTAACTCAATCATATCAAACTTTTCTACTTCCTTGATATCACCACATGTTCTGAAGCTCTCAGAATGTCTATAAAATTGTATGGAAAACACATAAAAGCCCACGAATACCACATCACAGGAACCCAACACTCAGGCTGTAGTAGTATTAGTAAGTGCTCTAATTACCCAAATACCACTTAGCAATTAAAAATTCCTTAAAAAAAAGTTAGAGCACTTCTGCATATTGAAATACTTTGTAAAAATTCATCACAAGACTGTACTTCATTATTTACTTACTTAAAACTTGAGGCCTTATACATATGCACCATTTGGAATACAGAAATTAAAGAAAGTCATGTAAAAACCTATGGGCTAATCCTGAAAATGTTACTTTGGACTACTGTACTCCCACTGACTTCAGGTCCAAAGGTTGGAAAAATTGATTATTGTGACTATTGCCCCACTCAGTCAAAACACACAGAACCAGACTTCTGATTTTTTGTTACAACTTCAGTAACAATTATATTGTTAATGATGCTTGAATAGTTTAACATAAGTGGCCTAATGACAGTTTAATGTAATTGCTCAAGTTGTTTGACCATCTTAATCTAAAGAGAGAGAAGACTAAGATTTTAAGTTATTTCTAAAAGAGACATGACCAATTCTCAAGCCCTTTCTTGGTTGAAAGATTAATCTGATGACTAGCAGGAAATCAAAAATGAAGTCCCCACCCAGAGCCAACAAACTGCCTTTCAGAGATTTGTACATACACTTCTCAACACAGTACGTTGCAATGTTGGTTTCAATCACGGTAAAACTAGTTTTAAGAGTAAGTACTAACTGTATAGTTAGACTAAATTAGAGAGCAAATCCCATGTGCTCTTTAATTTATTACAGGATTATTTTTCCTATGATTAAATCCTGATATGACAATACAATAATTGCCTAAAATAAGTATTTTGACTGCTAAAATATTTGAGTTAAATAGGAAAATAGACATTTCTGCAGTTCTCACTGAATTTAAGCTTAGGTGTTTGAACTAATAATCAAGGATACGTTATCCCAAAAGCATCAATAAAAAACAAAACTTTTCAAAAATATAAGGAAGTTGTTTGGAGAGTATACATTTGTTAAAGGACCAAATCCCTCCAGCTCTTCAACTTGTTAAAAAATATAGAGAGAGATTTCTAATCAACAAGTGAATGCTGTTTTTGGATAATCCTCTTGTTTCTTAGGCCAAAAAGTCATTCCTATTAATTTGCTTTAAAAAAAGATTTAGAAAACTACATGCACTTTACCACATTTGTAAGTGTGTTATAGTTTGAACAGTGAATGCCAAAGTTACATCACTATTAGTGTAAAAAAAAAAAAAAGATACATAAATTCTCAGCACCATTTATGATTAAATAACCTAGCTGCTTGCCAATGGAAGTCAGACTAGTACCATATAAAATTTATAGTCTATTAATCTCCCAAAATACCTGTAAAAGTGGAAGGCTGCTAGAAAGCAGCTATCAATTTACTTGTACTACTGATATTTCAATAGACAAGCTCATCCTGCAATATTAAGAAAAATGAAAATTTGGAATGGGGTCTTCAGTCCTGAAGCAAATAAGTCTTACCCTTAGTTTTAAACATTAAGCATTTTGCACTATGGGGTAAAACAACACTTATTGAAAAAGCACTTCAGCTGTTTATGTTAAAATTAAACAACTTAAACTTCCAATATCTTAAATATTTTCCTCAAACACTGATTATTTACACCACTTAATTTTGATGAACCACGGTTTACCAAAAAATGCCTGGCACCCTAATCACCATGGATTACAAAACACTAATTGCATGTACTTAATCCTCAAACCCTTCTTGCGCCCCACAAAAGACACAGAAGAGCAATTCCTACCTCATCCCCTCAATGAATGACAACACCAGCTTTCTAGCAGCCCGGATCCACCCCTCATTTATCACAAGCCAATGACTCGATTATCATTTCCCCAAGGCTGTATCCACCAGAAGCGATTGAAATGAAGATCACAATCTGGCAGAGTGAAATAATCACGTCTCCTAAGGGAAGAATCCTCCACCCTTGAGGAGACACTGACGACACCCCTTTACTATTCGTCCCGAGCCATGAAATCTCCGAGTCCTGCAGGCCTCAGTGAGAGGCTGAGGGAGGCAGTGAGGGAGCCTCCTTCTCCCTCCCCCCCGCCTTTGCCCTTGGGGAAAAGGAAACGCACCCCGATAGCCGCCCCACCGGGGAGAGGAGCTTGCTTGGGGGGAAGAGGGGGTCCTTCCCAATCCCATTACCCCTCAGCTGGAGAAGCGCCAGTCTCAGCGTCAGACCGAGATTCTCCACGTCGCTCACCTGCCTCCTCCACCCACCGCCCAGAAGCCAACGCCCCCACCCCTCAATACCTGTCATCCCCGAGCCCACCCCTCCCTCTTGTCCCTCCCACTCCGCCGGGCTTTCCCACCTCCCCGGGCGGCCCCGTCCTCTCGGCTCCCTCCCCAGCCCCGGCCCCCGTCTCTGGCGCCTGCCCCAGCCCCCGGCGACTGCCCCCTCACCGGGAGGCGATGGCGGCGGAGCAGCGGACCCGCTCGCTGATGTCACACAGGGCCCGGTAGTGGCGGTCCAGGCCCTTCTCCCGCTCCAGGTGGCAGGCGTAGAGCGAGAGCAGGATGCCGGCCGCGCACACCACGTAGCGGGCCACCCGCTCCCAGCGCGGCACCGACACTCGCAGCAGGACGGGCGCCGCCATCTTCCCCCCTCCCTCCGCCTCAGCCCCCGACGCGGACCCGGCAAGGGGACAGCAGCGCACGCGCGCCGGGAGCCCATTGGCTCAGCAGCTCGGCCAACCTGGACGTGGCGTTCCGCGACGCCGGCACGCCGCCGGAGGTGCGTCAGGGCGTTCCCAGGCGGCACGTCCAGGAAGGGGTGTAGCGCGCGCGCGCGTGCACGCCTGCCAGGCGCGCTCAGGTCGGAAATCGGTCACAGGGTGGCATGGGGGCGAGAGCCGCGAACCGCAAGGTGCGGGGTTGCGTGTTCGAATCCCTTCCGCCTTGTGGTGCGACAGCCACTCTTGCCTGTTTATATCAATGGGGGAGAAGGGATCCCCATTGATATCAGAGAGGGATGGGGTCCATGCTGTGCTAATCCCAGACCATCCTCCCTATGTTGGCTCCCCAACAGCTTTTAGGTGTACCCATCATAGGCTGGGCATAGGGTGACCAGATGTCCCGATTTTATAGGGACAATCCCGATATTTGGGGCTTTTTCTTATATAGGCTCCTATTACCCCCCACCCTCTGTCCTGATTTTTCACACTTGCTGTCTGGTCACCCTAGCTGGGCATACCCTGCCGAGAACAACCCATTAACGTCACACTCAATTTTGTGAACGAAGGAATCTACCCCAACAGATCTACCCCCCTACTCAATTACCAGGTTTGTTTTATAAATGCTGTTGGCAGAGCCAGACAAAGTGCATTAGGACATGGTCAAAGCCAAAGGGCACATGAATAATATTGCATGGATACGAGGTGGAAAAGAAAACATCAATATGGGGGTAGGGCCTTAAGGTGCTTCTAGATTGGCTCTAGATAACTAATATTTTTCTGCCAGAAGCCATGTTGTTTCCATGAACATCCCAAACAGCACTAAAATGTCAATAAACAACTCCAAACTCACTTTAAGAAATGAGTTAATAGACGCTTCATCCTGCTCCCTTTGAAGTAAATGGTATTTGTGGCATTGACCTTGGTAGGACAAACCATCAACGGGTTTTAGCACATGCATCTCTTTTTGAAGTCCCCTTTATGCTTTAGTCCATTTGGAGAAGAAACCAGAAAGGTATAAGGTATACCATTGTACTTAAGAACAAGTACTTCCATTAAGCCTTACTGTAATAGAGACATTTATATGGAACACATCACAGGACACCGTCAATACCGCACTGAGTAACCGAGACCGCTGACCAGGGAAATAACCCACTTCCTTCCCTGAAGGATCAAGGGACGCGCCCCACCCATGTACTTATCTGCTACACGGATACTGACTTGGACTCCTTATTCATTCCATGGGTGGCGTACCCGAGCCCACTTATCCACTGACACTTTAAAAACCCTTGCACCCCAATCTGGGTCTATGCAGGTTATGCGATATGTATGTATATTCTCATCCTTGCAAACGATACCTGTAACCCCCCATAACCCAAGCCTGACCCCAGATGTACAGTACCTTGCCTCTTAACTCATGTATATTTCATTTTAAACATTAACATTAATAACAATTTTAAATATGAGAGGTTATGGAATAAGGAAAAGGGGGAAAGGGTATGTATAGGACAATAATCTTAAATTGTGTCTAAAAATCATCAGTGATTTGTAGATTCTTTTCCTGGTAATCTGCAGAACTAAACATTTTGAGAACCAAGCAGTAGGGTGATTAAGGAGGAGAGGAGATGGATTCATGAGAATATGTTTTCTTATGAATTAACGTCCTAGAACAAGATAGTCTAGAAAATAAGGTTTTTCTGACAGGAGCAGTTTCGATACATCTCTGGTTATAGTTCGAGAAGCCAGCTAGAGTCTCTGAACAATAAATACAAAAATACAAAATAAATATAACAGCAGAGTCTAGAATGAGCCTTGCACTACCATAAGCACCATCCACACCCACTATCTTCCTCCATATTTAAAGTACAATCACAGCCCACCTATCCCCCTACTCTCTTGAGCTTTCTGGGCTTGCTGCTAGCTAGACATACTAACAGACAGTAAGTCAGTACAATATGAGCCTCTGTAGAATTTCCCAAGGAACAAGAAACAACAGAGCAACACAATGGCAGCATTCATCGCTCAAATGATGCCATTAGTGCCTCTTTTGTTCTATGGGACAAAATCAATACACAGAAACACATTGTGAAATTACTGCAGCAAAGAGAAGAGATGTATTGCTCAGGACTCATAAAAATGTATTAACAATAAAAAAGGCTGTCCTTGCTCTCTAACAAGGGTTTAAGTTCAAATAAATGTCTATTGCTGTCTAGGCTCTAATTTCTACTGGTGTGGTGAAAAAAAGTCTGGTTGCACAGAAGAGATAATAAAGGTGAGGTGTGGGGGAACAGAAACAATCCTATCTCTTGCCTGGCAACAGTCACATTTTTTAAGTTAAGCCCCCAAATAACACAAAGTCTCCAGTCAAGAATATTTTTATATATAATGTAAGAACCCAGGCAGTGCCTAAGAGGTGCTTAGCACCTTTAATTCTCATTAAAGTCACTGAGGACACAGTTGAGGACACAACTCTTCACAATAGGCACTCAACAGGTACAGGATTGGGTCCTGAATTTTTACTTCAGGTGGAACACAATTTATTTTTGCTTTGTCAACTTTTGACTGATGCTTTCCGTGTCAATGGCTGATTTATAGAGGATGTGCTATTGGGAATCACTATGGGCCCAATTTAGGAGAGAGAATTCAAAACTAGTTCCAAAATCTGAAATGACTGCTATCTGGAATCCAAATTCTGTATGAGAACCTATAGAAACACATGGAATATTTTTCATATAAATACAGCACAGCAAATATTTTTCAACCTAGTTAGATTGGCAGCTGAAGTAATAATATCTTTAGAAATTATTACAAATATTAATTATTTCCTGGCTGACAAACAAAACCAAAAAAACAGGGACATTTAGGGAAAGATATATGCCATGGAGATCTTGACAGACTGGAGAAAAGTCCGGGAAAAAGAATGACAGAGATTCACAAGGTGGAGGAATCAGCTTCTGAGACAATAGTAAAGGTCCAAACCTGCAAACAGTTTCATATAGTCCAATTGATTAAAAAAAAATCCTGCAAACAGTTTTGTTTAGTCCCATAAATTTAAAGAAATTATGTGTGTGGTTTATTTGTTGTATATATCACACTAAATGGGCAGGTTACCTCACTGATTTGCTTTTATACAATATTTTGTTGCAGTATAAGTGGTCTGTTTGTCTCCTCTTTAATACAGGAATTAACAGAAATTACATCTGTGATTCAAGCTGCGCTTCAGACTAATAATACTTTACAAGCTGATAATACTAATGATGTGATCATGCAGAGAGTGTATCACTAGTCAGAGAACAGCAACATCGTACAATGCTGAAATAATTTCCTAGCAGTATTTAATATAATTCTAGTCTTGTGCACATCCCTTACATAGCAGCAAACAACTGAGGGAAAAGGAATGACAAATTTTTTCTTCTGGTAATTATTCCTCCTTGGACTTGAGCATTAAGTTATAATGTTGCATGGTAGCAATCATATTAAATATATGAACTTCTGAATGCTTTCTTACAATACAAATAAGAGATATACCTGCCTGCAATGGGAAATAAAGCAACTTGAAATTTTGCTTTTGGCTGATTCCCTCTGCCACTTGAAAAAAAAAAAAAACCTCACAAACACAGGGCCCAATCCCAGGTCCATTGACTTCAACAGGAGTCCTTCTGTTTACTTCAGTGGATATTAGGTCAGGCCCCTAATCGGGGGAAAAAACTTTCCTACATTAACTGAATAAGTAGGGATCAGGAAATCAGAGGGACAAATTTATCCATGGTGTGCATCTACTTAGGTTGATGTAAGCTCTTTGGGGGCAAGGACTATCTTTTCATCATATATTTGTAACGTAGCTGTGGCTCTTCTATTGTACATGTAAACAACTAATCCTTTCTAAAATCTGAATAAGCTGGCTATCTTGTGGCAGCAATATCCACAGGTTAATTGGGCTGTCTAAACAAGTATTTCCTTTCATCAATTCTCGGTATATTGCCTTGCACTTTAATGTGGATGAAGTATCTAATAGGAGTGCCCAATTTTCTTTTTCTAATGCCTTTCATTATTCTTTTGACATCTATCATGTCCCCTCTCTGTACTAAAAAGTCCTAATCCTTTCAATCTCTCCTATTTTTTGCCACCTATCTCTGAACCTCTTTTTCTAACATATCCCAATCCCATGGTGGAGCTGTAGTGATCCTTTGTGCCAAAACGGATGTGCATTGGGCAAGAGAGAGCCTCCCACTCTTTGCATATAGGGAGAGATAGATAGCAAGGGTCCCCTTTGTATATAGGCTTGGGGGGGGAGGAGGCCCCCCTTTTTCTAGATAGACAAGATGAGTGCTCCCTTTATATATAGAAGTGGGGTGCAGGGGACCACCCCTTGCAGATATAGATTTGTTGGCAGGGGACTCCTCCTTTGGGTATGAATCTGCTATACAGGACACACCCCCACTTTGTATATAGACTTGGGGGCAGGACCAATCCCCTTGTGTATACATCTGGGGCAAGGGGCATGCCCCTCTGCATGTAGGCCTGAGAAGTGAGAGGGGGAACCTTTGGCATAGGCTTCTGTTGCCATAGCAACCCTGCAAGCCCAGGGGCCGGTAACCTTCAGAGAGGGAGCGGCATGCTCTCTGACGCAACAAGAGGGGTGGGGTTTGTGGTGAGTTAGAGCCCGCCCTCCGCGGCGGAGCCAATGGGAAGGCGGAGCGGAGTGCCCCCTCCCCCAGGTGGGCGGGACAGCGCTCAGCCAGAGCCGGGCTCGGCAGGCATGCGAGAGCCAGGGGCCCGGGAGGAGCCCGAGGGCCTGGGCGCCGCCAGGCCGCAGAAGGCAGCGCCCCCTGGGGCGGAGGAGCCCGAGGAGGCCGAGGCCCGCTACGATGCGTACGAGTGGTACAACGTGCGGGAGTGGAGCGGGCCGCGGGGCCCGGGCTCCGGCGGGAAGGGCCGCAGCCGCCGGGA